CGCCGCGCGAGATGCCACAGCCGCGAGATGCATCGTCGAAGGAGATGCCCCTGCTTTGTGCACGCGCACCTGAGCTAAGCGGCGTTCATACCGGCGCGGCGCTCAAAGCGGCAGACAAAGAGAAAATCCGTACGCGCACTTGCACTTGCAGACGCGCGTACTTAAATGCCTGCGGAGATACGCGGCGAGCGGTGCACGTGCGGCGCATATACGAGGAAGCTGTCGGGGATCACCTGTTTGTAATGCGCGAGCATTTTCCGTGAGAACGCGCGGCGTTGCAATCCTCGAGATTTTAGATACGAGAGTCGTCGCGTAAGCGTTAAAGAAAAGGAATATGTCTCTCGATGCCTTCGGCAGAGAGTAAAATCGCTACGTAAGTGCTGGTCTACGGCCGGTATTCATAGTCTTTAAGATCGTCTTAAGTAATGTCTTAAGACACTAATACGGCTCTGTGATTGGTTCATAACATCTTAAGACGGTCTTAAATAACTATGAATACCGGCCTACAACCTTGCTTTAAAGAGTATTTAGGCTGCATTCGAGGAGCGCGCTATTAGCGCTATTGCATCATTCTGTCTTTATCCATCATCAGGTGTAAAACAAGGATAGAACAAGCAAATAGCGCTAATAGCGCGCTCCCCGAATCCAGCCTATAACTCTAAATCGTAAGAAATTGATTGACCAATCACAGTGGAATATGAGGAAAATATTCGACTGTGATTGATCAATTTCTTATGGCTTAGAGCTTAAATACCATCCAAAGCAAGGTTGTAGACCAGCACTAAATGATTGAAAAAAGCCGTGCGATGTGCGACGCTTCTGGCTGGATTCGGGGAGCGCGCTATTAGCGCTATTTGCTTATTCTATCCTTGTTTTACATCTGATGAGCGATAAAGACAGAATGATGCAATAGCGCTAATAGCGCGCTTCTCGAATGCAGCCTCTGTCGGGCAAAAAAAGCTCCGATTGCGTCTCCGCGCGTAATAATATTGACGGGGGATGGAAAACCGACTTTTTTTCGTGCGATCGTGGAAGCGTCGCGATTTTCGAGCGATTTAGCGTTCGCGCAAAATCATGGAGAGATTATTATAGCGCACGTGAAGTGAGTAAAGTCTCGGTGCAGGTTTTCGCTACAAAACGCGCGGAAAATCAATATAAATTTCACGATTATTTCACGCCGGATGCATGTCGAATGATGAATGAAGCGCTATCGCGTTTTACGTTCATAAATAAAATCCTGTCCGCGTCCAAGATCAAGAGAAGAGGCGTCCGCTGCGGGCACCACGTGCTTTCCTCCGCAAGGTGCGCAGCGCGGGTTCGACGAACCGAAAAGACTTCGTTCTCCATTCGAGGACGAGTTCCCTCGCGAGTGCCCCATCTGCAGCGACGACTCGTTCGACGAGAAGGCAATGAGGCAAAAGAAGAGAGGAAAAAAAAAAGAGCGAGAGAAAGAGAAAAGAGGGATGGGGAGAGAGAAACACACGGTCGAAAGTACCTCTCCCGGGCGGTCTCTTACCTAAAAGCTGATTGGACGATCGGCCGGCGTTGGTTCCGTTCATTAACCGCGGTAATGCGTCTGCTCGGCGCGGCACGGCCGGATGACGACGACGCGGACGGTCCCCGCGCGAAAATCGATTTCACGTGTGAACGCAGCCTTACGGTGGCGAGTAGGCCGGTCAGGCGAGAGGGGTACGTTCGCGTTCGCGCACGCATTCGGGTTCCGCTGTAATAAAGGCGGCGAGGAACCACCGACGACGAGCCATACCACGTTATATACACAGACACGCACAGAGAGAGTCCCGGTCGCTCGCTCGCTCGCCTCGGCAGGTAGAGGCCAGTCCTCTCGCTCTTTCTCTCTCTCTTTCTTTCTCCCTCTTTCTCCCCCTCTCTCTTTTCTTGGAAACAGATGACAGCGGCACGGTCACCGCGGCTCACCGGACGCTCCGTGTCCTGCGGGATTACACGGGATAACTACTACGGTCATTTTATATCGCGAGAAAAAGAGTTCACTGTACGCGAACTATACCGCGGTAATCACTCTCTCTGCGAGATTATCCAGTATTATCACACTCGAATTCGGCGGCTCGTGGAATAAGCTGGATCGAGCGTTGCGACGAGGCGCTCTCGATGAGCCGCGCGCGGCCAGCGACGAGACAATGAGGAATTCGAGAAGGGAAGGATGGGATGAGAAGGAAAAAAAAAGAGAGGAAAGAAGAAGGGAGGAGATCCGGAGCGAGAGAGAGAGAGAGGACGCTCGCGAGAGCCGCGAGAAAGAAGGGAGTGGAGAAGCTGCGGCTCGCGCGAGGCGCGAGCGACAGAACAATATTTATACTGGCATAGGCACGACGTGTTCTCTCTCGGCTTCGCGGAGTTCTCGGCGGCGGCACCTCCAACCTCCAACGTGCGCCTCGCGCCGCGCACACGGGCGCTATCCCCGCTCGATCCCCGAGGAGTCGATAGAGCGCAACAACGCGCGCGCTACCGCTCCTTACGCTCTCGCGTCGCGCCTCGCGCCGTCGGGCACGGGTCCCCGAGAGAGAGAGGGAGAGAGAAAGAAAGATGAGAGAAATAGAGAAAAAATATGTGTGTACCCCGCTTGTGCCGCGCAGCGCAGCGTAGCCACGGGACGGGAAACCGCGTACTGCAAACTGCAAGTCCGCACTCTGCAAAGAGCGCGAGGGGCGCGCGCGCGCGCGTATGTACACGTTCGACCCGGGGGGGAAGTCAGTCGCGGCAACGACGCGGACGCACCATGCGCGAGCGTTGGCGCGCGCAGGGCCCTACGAAGTACGGACTACGGACGCGGTGGTAAGTACGCGACGCGGCATTCCCACATTCCCCACCGCGAGTGGCACCCGGCGTCGCATTGACCGCGTCGACACCGCCGGCGCCGCGAGCCTGTATTCCTGTATATAGCCGGCTTGTGGCGCGCGGGCGCGCGCGCTTCTGAGGTGGCGCGCGGTCGCGTCACGTCGGTCGTCGCCGAGCGCGGCCGTGCCCGAGGTCGCGACCCACGACCGATGCGCGGAAACGGAGAGAAAACGGAGGGATTCTTCTCTCCACTCCACTCTTTCGAGTCTCGACAGTCGACAGTTTCGACTGTTCGACAGCGGACGGAGCAGACCACGTGACCGTCCGCGTCGACAGTACCGTGCTCGGACGCGGCGATGAGCGGCACCCTTGGACCTCGCGTAATTTTTTTTCTTTTTTTTTTCGTGCTGTTTATATAAGCGATATATGAAATGCATTAAACGCTACATTAAAAACATGTATTAATTTTAGATATGGACTTTGTTTGACATTGTAAATCGAAAGGATATATTTTGAGATATACTTTCCTTTAATCACTACGCCTTGCAAATTAACGACAAAATGAACGATCTTACTCTACTTTGGCGAGTCCAATATTATTCATTCCGATTTTGGAAAAGTCTAGCAAGCCTACATTTTCATAATTGTTTTCTTCAGATTGAAAAGCTCGCACAATACGAAGATTCAGAGAACATTATTTGAATTATTGAACTTTTTTGTGAATTATTCCAACATGATGTACATACATACATACGTATGTCGTACTTTTAGATAAATATGCATCATTTAATGACGTATCTTAGGATCTTTTACTTTATCAAATTTTGTATCGTTAAATAATAAATATGTGGATTTAATATAAGAGCAAAACTGAAACAAAATTTAGATATAAAAATTAAATCTTGTCCAATCGCCATCGTCGGAAATTTCTTCTGAATGATTACAGCGCTATCTAGCGCAGTAAGAGAATAACTGAAGTGCAACGGTAGGGTACCCGTGTACCGTTCTATCCCTTCGTTATACCACAGGTTATACGATGGCTGCATTCGAGAAGCGCGCTATTAGCGCTATTGCATCATTCTGTCTTTATCGCTCATCAGATGTAAAACAAGGATAGAATAAGCAAATAGCGCTAATAGCGCGCTCCCCGAATCCAGCCGATACGAGCGTTTGTAGATTTCCCCTCTCCGTAATGATCATTATACCGGCGAAAATATATATCTCTGTCCATGGGACAGCTGATGAAGTTTTCAAAACGTGATTTTTTAACATATACATTCATACATGAAGCAATATTCCATAATTTCCATATGCGTGTACGTAGGTGTGTATCATTGTAGCATAAACGTCAGAACGCTGCAAAAACTAGCGTAAAATCTGTGCTGGCGTAACGAAAACGAGCGTTAAAGCCTTAATGTGATTGGCCAAGTTTCCTTTACAGCGTACGCCGCGCCGGCCGCGCCGGTACGCCGTACACTGGATCCATGGGACTTTACTCAGCGTGACGAAACACGAAACTCCAAACTGTAAAATAATACAAGTTTAATAGGCAAATTATGAAAAAAGTTTATTGTAATTATTATGTATAATTTTTTTTATTACAATATTTCTACTTTTATTTCATGCGTTTAAGGATGATGCAAATTTTATGATGAGCATGCGCATGTGGCCGCAGGGGATGTTCAGTGTCGATTACCGAGATAATTTTTCATTTTTAAGACTAATATTAAACCAACAAACGCTAAAATTAGACCAACAATCATCAGCAAACGATTACGTATCGATTAGACCGTTTTTTAATTAAAAATGAGATTAATTTTTCCGGCTGACAACGCTAATTTTTCTTTTTTAATTAAAAAAAAATTAAGAACCAACAAACGTTGTAATTATATAGGCCGACAATCACCAACAAACGACCAACAAACGATTAAAAAAAAATTAATAAAGTCGAAGTTGACCGGCTAAGTTACCGGAGCTCGAGAGTCGGACGGTGGGGATACACACACGAAAAGGAAGCACGTTCGCAGTGTTCGCACGTGTGCGTATCTCGAGACTCGAGCTCGAGAGTCTCGAGTGGCTCTCAGCAGAGAGAAAGATGAGAGTGATCATGCCCGCGTTTTGGCTGTACCCGAATCATATCGGTATGTGCACGTTTTTGTGGTTCTCTTCTGTGCTATATAATCGTTATTTTGATTTCTCGCTTCTGATTCCATGATTTCTGCCTATACACAGTCTCGTTATATCAAAGTCTCCTTCAGTGTAAAGGATAAATATAGTGTTTGGAATGTTGTGATTTCACCCGTAATTTATCTTGCACTCGTAAGATATGAGCGTTAAGCAAAATATGACAAAATTGGTAGAATGACTATCATTCCATGCGATAAATAGGAAGGATACTGTTTATGCTGGTTTATCAAATAGAGGATTCGTCTGCACTCCGCGTACATCCACGACCGTTTGATCCGTGATGCGATAGTACTCAAACACCATGCAAGCTTTTCTAGGTCGCTACCAGCTCTGGTATCTGCGTGAGGCTGAAGCCTGCAACAAATAAACGTAGTCGTTCGATAAAATCTCGAGTGCTTTTCGAATCGCAAAATCTGTAAATATCCTGCTCTTACCTGTAAATATATATGCTGTAACGTGACCTATATACGTTCCTAATCTGTGATAAACGGGCTTTTGTCGAAACCTATTTTATACAGAATCAATAATTATTGAATTATTTTGTTAATCTTACCACATATATATGAAATTATTGATAACGTTAATAATCTCGTTGGAATACATCCTTCGCGAAACGATACTTACTCACGTAAAGAACGGCGGGAGACTATTACACTGCCACAGGTGCTACAACCACTCGACCTCTGTCATTGTTTTGGTCGTCGACTGTCGCAAGCATTTGTGAATCTGTCACGCGTCGCACGTGTGATGTCAGATTTCAGAGATATCGATGGAGAAGAAACAATTGCCATTCCGTAAATGCTTGTTTGTATATTTTATTACAAAGATATAAATTTCATCGCAAACAATTAACGAAATGTCTTGTCTTCATTACAAACAGAACTGAAAGCAACCATTGTATTTAATATTTTACATTACCGGAACCATGTGTCCTGTCATACCTATAATCGCTGTATCTACAATCCATATTATGCTCGATGCAAGACAATCGGCTCTACAAGTAGATATAATGTGTTGTTTTACATATTTTGTTGCGTATTAAATAAACACGTTGAATTAAATTTAAAGTTAATTTTAATTAAATTGAATGAAATTAAAAGTTAATTTAATACGTTCAACCGTGTTAAACGACGTAATTTCAAATGGCAACAAATGTGTAAGAGGCCGGAGTTTCGGTTAAAATAATTTGAATTTGTAGAGTGTAGTCATAATAGTTATTTGTGTAACAAGTGCTGTAAGATGAAAATTCACGGGTGCGGAGTTGACGCACGAGGCGAAGGCGAGTGCGGTCACCGCACCCGGGAATTTTCATCTTTACGCACGGCTTGCACACCCTATTTTATGTTGCAAGTGCGTGGAAAGTGGTCTATCACGCACGCGTAGCGTGCGTAATGGGCCACTTTCTGTGCACGTGTTACATAATAATATTTTACAATTTACATTACCGCATCCACGTGTCCCGTTATATTTTTATAATTGTATAATGTATAATCCATTATGCTCGACTGATGTAAGACAATTATCGACTCTACAATTAGAAAATTATAGTCATTTAGGATTTTTAAATTACTATAAATATAAGCAGTAGGCATATCGGCTAGAAATAATTTAAGACTTGAAAGAAACTACTCTATATATATTTTTTTTAAATTTAAATAATTATTTATTTATTTAAATTAAAATATTGTAAAAAGTATACGTTATATAGATGTCTTTTATCATGTATGCATACACCCTGTATACGTATACGCAGCTCCCTAGCGCAGTGGCTTGCCTGGGCTTGCCTCTAAATATTCGTGCATTCCAAAACCCATCAAAAAAAAGTGTTGCAACTTTTCCGTGAACGACGTACTGTTGAAACGAACGGGTTAACTCCTGAATTATTTATTAATTAAATCTCTTTCTTTCTTTTTTTTTGGTTCAGCGTCTCATCTAGGAAAAAAAAGATATGTAGTATGTACATATTCGCGCTTATCGAAGAAAATTCGGGAGCAAGTTTCTCATCCATCTTTACGTCTCTGTCTCTGTTCCTCGCTCGCTCTCTCTTTGTCCTCGCCGATCTATTGCGCGCGTTCGATCGACGAGAGTCCAGTCGTCCTCCCTTCCCCCCCCCCCCCCCTTCGCCGTTGTTGTTGGTCCTGGCATCGCCGTCGAGGACCCTCGATCCGCATCGCGACGTCCGCACACCGCACAATCCGCAGTAGCATATTTATATATCGGAGGCTGTTCGGCTGACCGCGCGCGGGCGAGATGTCGTTGATCAGGACGCTGTGGAAGTGCGCGTTCAGTCCGCGGCTTTTCAAGATTTACGAGGTAACGTGGATCGGTCTAGTCGACGTAAGTACGACACACTTATTCAGCGACTCAGCGTTTTCCCCCCGGAAATTTGCATAAAAAGTTGAGGTTATAATACGCGTATGCGTGTGTCCGATTTACAGAAGTCGTACGAGGCGAGGAACCTGGAGCGATGGGGCGATCATATCGTGATCTCCGTAAGTGTTCCGCGCGACAGACAGAACGGAGGTTGTGACGTTGCCGAGTGTTCGTCGCGCTTTCTTATCGCGCCGCTCCACGCGGGCGAGGATCTTCCAAATACCGGCGAACGCGAATTTCCGTCACAACTTACTAATCGTCTGAATGTATCTTATTATTGTGACTATAAGGATGTGCGAATTCATAAATTGTTCTTGCGCTGTTGCAGTTTGCGGCGATATGGTCCATGAGTCTGTACGCCGTACCGGTCATTGCCATGTTCGCCATGTACCAACGTGGCTACTCCTTGACAGATAACGTTTCTTGCTTGAGCAAATTGGCAGCTGGCGCCGGCGCGCTCCTTGTCGCCTCGTTGGCCGCACGCGGTTACTCCAGGGTTAATAATCCGGTGTACGTGAAGTTTGTGGAAACCTTGAACGAGACACAGTTGCATTATAACGCAAGCACGAAACAGGAACTTAATAAGTACGATTTTGAATTCTGGGCATGGCCTGTGGACTTTGATGTCTCGGAACTAAACAGGTTGGTCTCTATCTTTATCGATAATTAATATGTTAAAGATGTTCGAGAATCTTCAGCTTTCATTTAAGTGACAAATCTAATAAATTTTAATAAAATTGGGATGTTTGTAGCAAAAATTTTTCAAATTTTGACTCAAATGTCTTGGAAAATCAATATATATTTCAACATTTTGCTTAATTCCATCTGAAAACTTAGAAAGTAGGGCTCGCACATGAAATATTGATGTTCTAAGTTGAAACTAAGATTGGCGATTTTAAATGGCTCTAATTATATGTTTCTTGTAGTGATACTGCAGACAAGTTGACACTAGAAAAAATTGCAAAGGCTAGCGGCCGCCTCAGACGACAAAGCGGCAAAGAATTTGTATTTGCTATACCATGTAAATTGCTTTCTTATGCGATAGCACATACATTCGCGGGTAAATTGATTTATCCTGGCAGTATATCTTTCATCGGCTGGATACTCGGTAACGCATTACGATTATTATTGTATTTACGTTTTTATGGTAGGTACTAATCATTTTGCATCGCAATGTTAAAGGCTCCACGTTGGTGAAGGGAAGAGTAGATTTGATGAAACTGGGTGGAGAAAGATTCAAATTAATGACTGCTGATAAAAATCAAATTGACGCGATGTTTGTTGATCGGCGTAACAAGTAATGTAAACGATAACTTTATCGACATCTTATGTTATGCTAAAAACTGTTTTCTGATGTGCACCATATTGCAGAAGCGCTTATGGCGATGTATTGGTTGTAACTTGCGAAGGAAACTGTGGTTTTTATGAAACAGGGATTATATCCACTCCTCTAACCAAGGGCTATTCGGTGCTGGGCTGGAATCATCCGGGTTTCGCCAGCAGTACTGTAAGTATTATCGCTTGCAAAGGAGTGAGCCTCGCGTATATTTCACAATAACAATCCGACGGGAAGAATTGCTGTTACTCCGTCGTAAGACTCTTTTTATTGCAACGATAAAATTTTTGCCGATGTTGCAGTTATTGTCATTCAGACAGTAAATGTAAAGTTGGAGTAATGGCAAGCCTTCTTCTTCGAGGGCCGACTTGTATCTCGTATAACAGTAACAGTAAGTCATGACACAAAGGGTGCGCCATATCCAGAGCAAGAGGAAAACGCCATCGATTGTATAATGCGTTTTGCGATCGAGCGTCTAAAGTTTCCCGAAGAACGGATCATCGTGTACGGTTGGAGCATCGGAGGCTATCCCGCTACTTGGGCCGCTATGAATTATCCTTCTATTCGGAGCTTGGTAATATTCGGTTCAACTGATTACACACGTAAAATCGATTCTATAAATTGATGAATTAATCACCGCAGGTTTTAGATGCTACGTTCGATGATGTACTTCCATTAGCTATTAAAACAATGCCACCGTCCCTAGAAGGTTTAGTCCGCAACATAATCAGAGATTACTTCAATTTAAACATAGCAGAACAATTGAATAGGTATATTCTATGGCACATCATGATATAATAAAATTATAGTGTCCCATGTGTATCTCTATATATTGTTATCTTTTAATTTGATAGATATAACGGGACCGTATTGTTAGTGAGAAGAACAGACGACGAGATCCTCTCTATACCTCCCAACAGCTTATCTGGAAATCGCGGCAATATGTTGCTGATGAAATTACTTCTTAGACGTTATCCGCATCTATTTTCCGAAACCTCTGAATCTGGGACAGTCTTATCGAGGTTCTTATCCGCTGAAGCGTCCGACAGAAGTAAGGAATTGAGTATTAAAAGCGTTACTTAAAAAAACATATGAAAAGAAGTATATCATTATCAAATTGATTCTTTATATTTGCGACAGCGTCGATATTGGCATCGTTCCAAGTGGAGGAGAAACGTTGCCTAGAATTGATAGCGGCTAATATACGAAGCGATGATGGGGTGATAAATTATCCGTCTACTCTAGGACAGAATTGTAATACTAGGACAAAATTACAGTTGGTTCTCTTCCTTGTACGTATTACATACACAAAGATTCGTAGATTTGAAATCGAAAAACAGCAAGAAAATTGTACTTTGATTGCTATTATTCCCCATTCTATTTTCTAGGCAACAATGTATATGAAAGATCAATCATCGTCGCACTGTATCCCGTTGTCTGTTGATCTGTTTCATCCGGGTTGGGATCCAGCATCCGCCATTGCTGTGAAGTAGCTTTCACAATACTATACTTGGAATATCAGAATAAGCTTCTCGAGCTTTTCTTATTTATATTAGTACATTATGAACGAATGAAAGCGGTAATAACGGTGCAATTTCGTATTAAGTTTTACTAGCACACATACACACAGGCGTTATTTATTCCATATTAATCTATAATTACAAATTTTTGTGAAAAATTTTACATATTAGATATCATTTTTAATTCATAACAAGCATTTTAGTTGAGTTGCAATAGTCATTTGCATTTTTGAATTGATTATACGAGTCGCATATCACCAAGTACTGCTTTGTATAAAATTCATTTGTATTACAATATACATATTAAAATTTAAAAATTGATTCTTTAATATATTGACATTATTTTAAGAAATAGCTTTTACAATGGTATGTATTACATTTTATTAGTAATTTAAAACCAGATAAAAGTAATTTGCATTAAAACTCTGAAATGAGAATATATATATATACACACACATACATATACATTGTAAGATAATAACTGTATTTTTCATTTCGATATTATAACTTAATTATTACGTAATTATTATTCGTAATCATTACTCATTTTTTAATAAAAAGAAGCGACTTCGTATTGTGAAATAAAAATAACATTGCAAAAAGAAGTTTGCATTGAAAACATTTAATATTAAAAGTACAAAATTCCGCTTTAAAATTATCAAAATTTATCTGAAAGATTACTTATGTATATATTTTGCAAAATTCATATATGATGATATCTTAGTTCTAATTTTACATGAAATTTCCACTATTTTTCATACAATGTATAAAAATAAATAACTATATGTCATACCCCGATAATTTCCGGTAATTTTACGTAACTTGAATATTGTCTAGAACAGTTTTAAGAGCAGTTTTAGAATCTTGGAATGGATCGACTACATTTGCACGACTAGTCTTCATTGGTTTCTCTAGAAATACTTTCAGCATACTCCTTGTTTGCGCTAAGAAATAATCTCTCTGAGTAACTTTTTCCAAAGCCTTGAAACATCCTTCCAAATTCCAGTCAATTTTCCTACTGGCTTTGTCCTCGCCCTAAGAAACAGATCGTTAATCGTTTTACTCGCTTTCATGTATCTTCTACATGCATAAATAATAGTAATTCTTAATTTTTCTTACTTTCATTAAACCAAGATTAACTAGTAATGCATTATTCAAAATGGAGATTTGATTATTCTCTACGGCATAAGAAAACAGCTTTGCGTATAAAGCATCTGACAAGGATTCTGCTTTCATTCTCACATCCATGTAGCCACTGCCGCATAATGCCGATACTTTCATAATTATCCGTAAAAGCTCCTCTATATATTTCTGTTCTGTAGCTGTGTTACTTTGATTTGCCAAATTCTGGAATAAGAAGTAAAAATCTCGCTAGAAATATAACTAATTTTTACAGATATCTACATATTAATACGTACCGTTGCATAGTCGATAAAAGCTTGCACATTATCATCTTGCAACAGGTGCAACAGCAACAGTTGCAGCAGTTTCTCAGCTGTTGGCGATTTCAAAAAGTCCGCTACTGTTACCACCGGGCTTTCTGCAATATTATCTTGTTCCTTGTTGTCCTCTTTGTCACTTGCTTCATCCTCATCACTTTCGTTCTCTTCGCTCTGTTCATCCTCATTATCATCTTCCTCCTCCTCGTCCTCAGTATAATCCTCATCCAAAGAATGCAATGCATCAATTCTTCCCAATTTTGTGAGAATTTGTCGAAGGTTCTCGCGTCCTTCCGTTCCAAAGCAATTACCGTCCAGCTGTAGATTTGTCAGAAGAGTTTTATCATGCATGGCTTTGGCGAGAGCATTTCCAGCATCCGCGCGTAGCTCGTTATTACTCAAGTCCAGATATCTGAGGGACGTATGATTGCCGTGAATCTCTAACGCCTCCGCTAGGACTAAAGCCCCTTTAGTCTTTAGTAAACAATCACCGAGGTTCAGTTCCTCCAGACCCCGGAAAGTCGGTAAAGCTTTAGCGAGCGCTCTGGCTCCTTTCAGTCCGATCGTATTGTCATTCAAATTTAACACCCGCAAATTAGGATTGACAGATAAACCCTGTGCAATCGCCGCGATGCCCACGTGATATATGCCGTTCTGTTGCATCACAACTTCCTCTAATGTCTTTAACCTTTCAAACACGGACGCCAATGCTTGTGCACCCTCGTTCTCCAGCCGATTTCTGCCGACGATGAAAACTTTCAACGCGAGCGGCGTGCCTAGTAGAATTCAACTCGATTAAGGGGGGATCCTGGTGTAGCGAGTCAAAAAAGTTAAGGTATTTTCAGGATTTTTTTTGAAGGTATTAAAAATCTCCGACCATTTCGGCAGTGGCCCAGTATATATATATATATATTGTACCATATTTCAAGAATACAAAACGATTTTTTCTTCATTGACGGAAAGAAAACAACTTTTGAGATATATCGCCGAATGTTCGAAGGTGCAGAAAATTCGATGGGCGTAATAGCTCGGCGCAGGGTCGTCTGAAACAAAAAAATCCAGCACCGTTTTAAAGCTTAAACTTGTAGTTTTGAGGTGAACCTTTAAAATTTTGGAAAAAAATTTATTTAATTTTTTTTAGCCTAGAAGGAGCGATTTTTTCGGTAAAAATCGTACCTTCCACTTCTGAAGGCCGCCAATTTGCCAATTTCCAACTTTCCTGGAATTTTAAAGGTTCATCTCAAATCTACAATTTTAAGCTTTAAAGCGGTGCGGGAATTTTTTGTTTCAGACGACCCTGCGCCGAGCTATTACGCCCACCGAATTATCTGCACCTTCGAACATTCGGCGATATATCTCAAGAGTTGTTTTCTTTCCGCCAATGAAAAAAATCGTTTTGTATTCTTGAAATATGATACAATGTGTGTGTGTGTGTGTGTACTGGGCCACTGCCGAAATGGTCGGAGATTTTTAATACCTTCAAAAAAAAATCCTGAAAATACCTTACTTTTTGGACTTGCACACCAGGATCCTCCCTTAAGCATTAAGAATATATTTTACAATACGTATAATTGCATACACATGTTACATGTGTTAATATCTCACCTTCTTTAGAACTGTTCTCATGACACTTCTCCAATGCTTTAGCCAACATCTTTCCACCTGATATACCGAGACCATTGTTGTTCAGTTTCAACTGTTGAAGGGTATAGCACGGACTCGACGCCAACAGATTTGCTAACCCTTGAATACCGATTGGGCCGAAAGCATTGTCGCTCATGTCGAGCTCGGTTAGCTGGCTACCAGCGGTGCACAATGCCGTTCCTAGATGCTCCAACGCTTTTGGGATTTCTGTTTTCAGACGACCAGTGAACATGTCCTTCCATAGAGCCTTTTTCAACGGAGTCCCCTTCTCCTTCAACGCCTCCGCTATAGCCTCTGCAGCCGGCGTTCCCAACGTGTTTCCTTCCAAATCCAAGTACTCCAAGCACGGACATGCTTTAATCGCTTCCACCACTTGGAGAGCTGTACAACACAATAAATTCATCAAATTCTCTGATAATAAATAAATAAATAATTTAATTTATACACACACGTGTAAATATAGAATTCAAACGTTTGCAGTGAGAATTTCGCAAAGCAACAGCTGCGTTTAGAGATCGAATTAAAGAATTGAGCTCGCACAATCGTTCAATAGTTTCGTGCGCTTTATGTACGACGTGAGAAACACGAGGGGATACATCGTCGAGAAGATTCTAACAACTTACCATCATCCGCAGTGTCCAATACGAGCGACTGACCGGCGAACGAAACTCCGACCGATTTCCGGCTCACGTCCTTCAACTGCTCGCCAATCTCGCCTAGACTGAACATGTTGCGCGTTTGCGATTGTCACAGATATTTTGTAAAACGATCCTGATGGACGATCCTTCGATATAAGGCTATGAAACAGCGAAGTGTGAATAGGCGTCGACAAACTCGTCCCTTTGTTGGCTTTGTTGATATCGCTTCCCCACAGTGCGTCGTGTTTCGCGTTCCGCCAGGCCGCCAGGTGGTAGTAAACGCGACGAAATTCGTATGCGCGGGAAACCGCTGCCAACACGTGCCGAGCACTGGAAAGAAAGTCACTATTCAGTCACGAACGTAATCGCGGATCGCGGATCGCGGCCATCGTGGGGTAAGGCTGCAGGGTGATCTTCGATGAACTTTGTCCACATTTCTACTAATGCAATTTGACTTTAAATTAATTTACTTTTAATCTTTTTTTTAGTTATAAGAATTAGAAAAAGATAGAAAGTAAGTTAAACCGAGAGTAAAGTTAATTGATCTGCATTGACAGAAATAATGAATAATAATCGATGATTAATTCATCAACTAATATTTATGTAATATTAATACGTATTAGATACAATAATTTTTTTGTTTCATTCGTAAGAAAAAAGATTAGTAGAGTGAAATTTTGCTTTAAGCTATATTTTGTCGGTTGATTTATTCGCCGATTAAGTTAATTGGACTTTAGTCACAAGTCGTCCATAATGTAATTTCACGGACAAAAATTCCTTCCATGCAGGTCCGTGTAGTATACGATGATTCACATTTGCAACGACCCTGTACTCTAAAATAAGAAATGTCAAAATCCACGAACGCGCGTACAAACAATAATAAAGTAAGATCAGTATAAGGCTAATCTCGAATCGTTTTCTCCACAGAAAATTATTAGAATCAGAATTATTAATTTAATAAAATAATACATACCGATCTTTTTGGCCAGACGTGAGACACATAAAAATCAATATTAATATTGAGATAAAAGCTTCGAGTTTATTGGAATGAAAACGTATAATGCAATAAAACATTATTTGTTATAACTAATTTCACATTTCCATAGAAATCTTTTTTTTTCGCGCATTTTATGTACAAAATCAAAAAAGTATCTAGTTATATCAAAGTGTAAAAAAAAAGCCTGTTACAGTGGCTAGCTGTAACACAATTGCGGAGTTAGTTACAAAAATCGTTTCGAATATTCGAGACAGAATTATTTCATCCTTCCTTTCCTCTAAAAAAAATCCATATATTTATTGTTAATACGTGTAGAATATTAATGATGAACAATAAACATATAGGATACTCAAGTTTAATTTTTCTTTCAGGTGCTAATAAAGATGCTTTATTACACTGAATGCTGCTTTTTCATAAACTGGCCACCGTCTATGTAGATGTGTGTGTATTATGCATGTGTGTGCTTATGAACTTTATTATATTCATATATCATAAATACTTTTTTCTTCATTAATTTGATTCTTTCAGACGTGTCTAGAAATGTTTCTCAGCTTTATTCTATCTATTTAGTAAAAAGTTTATGCGCGTTTACAAGCATAGGTCATTCTCGCTATCCATATCATTAAAAAAAATGCCACCGTACACACTGCAACATATTCTAAATTTGAGAAGGGGGCACAGAATATGAAGCATCAAATCGTATCCGAGTCCACGGCAAAAAGACATGTTATGAATGAAAAAGAAATGTTTTTTTTTTTTTTCAAGACAATCTTTAGGCGAATATGAGAAGACTATGTTCTTTTTTACTGTATATAGTGGCCATTTTATATACCTTTTTCACATTATATGGTCAACATTTAATACAAAAATTAATCTATTATATCTAGTGACAATCCGAATGCGTTCGAATGTAAACGTCGATTAATGAACTCTACTGTTAAAATACTTAGAGACTAAGCATTCTCTTAAATGTACATAAATAACCCTCTTATCGATTAACTATGTTTTGCTTATGTGTCTCGAGTTAATAAATTGTCCATTTCCATTCCCTTTTTTTTTTGGCTTAAATATCGAAAGTTTAAATTAAATTTTTCAAATGTTCAATTTTTACATCGTACAAGCCAGCACTGAGCTTATACAGAAACCTAAATGTTTTAATATACTTCTTCTGTGCCTTTTGAGTTGAAGGACAGAAAGTGTGATTCTTCATAATGTGTCTCACAATGTTTCGTATGTGATGTGACTCCGATAGGTGAGAAAGTCGCGTGCCGAAGTTCGCCACGTTAAAAAGCAGATTTTGACTGAGCATTCTCGACAGTTTCTTGCGATTTTCAAATCCACGTCTAAAGTATATAGAGGTTAGAAGCCTTCCTGATACTGTTTCGAATCTAATTTCGCTTGAGTGAGCTCCAGCTGTCTCTTCGCTTCACACTGAGGAAAATTTTGTAGATCGTAATATTGCGGTGCTATCATGAGCAACCAATCAGCTGTAAAAAGATATATAAAATCTCAATAAAAAAAAAACAATTAAATTAACGGATGCTACTAATTGTAACAAATCGACGAAAAGAAAAAGTATAGTCTAGCCCGAATGTGTACCGATTGTATAATAAAATAACACGAGAATACTTACGTTTAATGTCAGTGACTGTTCTGATGTAATTTTTAGTGGTGAGCACAAATTCATTATAAATAACCCACTCTGGTTTGTGATCGAGACAACTGCTCGGATGAAGTTGTACTACCTGGTTATCTTTGATGGTCAGATAATGTCCCGTTCTCTCTAAATGCGCTACCTGCATGTTGAAATAACAATATTAAGATGCATATAAAATAAAAAAAGCATGTATATAAAGAGAAACTCAATATTTATGTTACCTGCATGAAGAAACCATTAACAAGAGCTTTCCTGATGTTAATGTAATAATCTTTTGAATTGAAGTCCGTCGAAGTGCGTTTTAATACAAATCTGTCCATTATTCTGCTCAACTGTTGTCTTACGTTGTCTCCGCTCTTCAGCGATCGATAATTCACGTAATTGTCGTAACACCATTGAACATCGTCCATATCTGTAATTAATTCATCACAGGTAGAACCGTAGAACTATCAAACTACAGGCCTGTTCGTTTTCGCTGCACTTCTGAACCAGTGCGATAAGTTAGAATGAAAGAAAATATATTTGTTTCATTCTAAGTTATTGCACTAGTTGAGAAGTGCAGCAAAAACGAACAGGCCTAATATTTCAGATTGATAGAAATAATAAGAAGCAAGTACTTACGTTGTTTGAAAGAGTGATACACATTGAGTAGTGTTAGATGATCACCATCAATGTGTGCAAATTTCATTTTTGCGTCATCCGCAGCCTTTTTCGATTCATTCGGCCTCACAAAGCACTGTGGGACTAATACCATGTCAATCATCAATATACTACCATGTCATCTTACCACAATTCTGATTCTATTACTTTACTTTTAGAACTCTTTCTTATATATTTTACGTATGATTTTCTTAATATATTAATAGTTAATAATAAATAATATAAAAAAAATAATCATTAAATTATTAGTAAACAGTTGCACGATATTATCGCGTACAGCAAACCCCAATACGTTACCTGAGAGCATAGCAGTAATGCTGAGTATCTCATTGCTGCAATTATGATTGCAAGAAGCTATAAGCATCTTCGCCAACTGTGGATCTAATGGAAACTCTGCCATTACCGCGCCAAGATCCGTCAGGTTTCCATCATCGTCAAGAGCTGCTAGATAATTCAGAAGTTCCAAAGCTCTCATAAGAGTTTCGGGCGCAGGTGGATCCATAAAGTCAAAATGTACCTGTCGTATAACATGCAATAAGTTTTACGATGTTACTTAAAAACACATGATCATATTATTATTTTAATAATATAATATTACGATAAACGCACCAGATCATCAATGCCAAGCTTCTTCAATTGCAATACGACGCTTCCAAGATTAGAACGCAAAATCTCAGGGTAGGTATTATCTTGCATCTCGTTTTTGTACGCCTTTTCTGTGTATAATCTGAAACATTTTCCGGGTCTTGTTCTGCCAGCGCGACCGGCTCTCTGTTGCGCTGAAGCCTTGCTGATAGGTGACACTAAAAGAGATTCGACACGAATCCTAGGATTGTATACCTATTAACAAAAAGCATTAGAAATTAATAACAAGATTTATTGATAGTAAAAGATTATTAATTTAAATTAATTAAATTAAAACGTCGCATTTACTTTTTGCTTGGCAAAACCAGGATCTATGACAAAGACGACCCCATCGATAGTCAACGATGTCTCCGCGATATTAGTCGAAACGACGACTTTCCGGCCGATAGCACCGTTAGCTTTGGTAGGCGGAGCAGGTTCGAATATTCTCTGTTGAAGGTTCGGCGGCAGTGTCGAATACAGTGGTATACACTTTAGTTCACCAACTTCAGGTCCCAAGTTGTCCATTTCTCGTTTAATTCTCTTGCAAGCTTCCTCAATTTCCTCCTGACCGGTCAAAAACAGCAGAAGGTCCCCGGGAATCTCTTCGCACATCTGTATCTGAATGACAGTTCTGATTGCCGCCTCCAAGTAATCCCTCTCTGGCTCTGGCGTATAAAATATCTCGACTGGATGTGTTCTACCAGGTACGTTCATGAGCGGTGCATTGTCGAAATATTGCTGAAACTTTCCAGCGTCCAAGGTAGCACTCATAATCACAAGTTTCAAGTCCGGTCTCTGCTTGATCACTTCTTTCAAAACACCCATCAGCAAGTCAGTAGCTAATGTTCTTTCATGAGCTTCATCTAGCAGTATCACTTGATAGGCATCCAACATGGGATCAGACATGCCTTCCCGAAGCAACATACCGTCAGTCATGTACTTCAGCACAGTCCTTGGCGAACTGCAATCTTCAAAACGGATGCTGTATCCTACTTCTTGACCTGTAAAAAAGTTACAGAAATTTTTTTTTTTAATTTATTACCGTTGCAGCACTGTTTCTGATAATATTACAATATTCTTTAATTTTCCAACGTAACAAATAATTATAATACGTACCTAAGGCAACGTCCATTTCCTCCGAAACTCTTTGAGCAACGCTCATAGCTGCCACTCTTCTGGGTTGAGTACAGGCGACTCCTTTGGTTCCGATACTTCTTGAATATTCTACACACCATTGCGGTATCTGGGTAGTTTTGCCGGAGCCTGTCTCTCCAACAAGAACAATGCATTGATGCTGCGACAGCAATCTCATAAAATCCGCGCGATATTCAAACACAGGCAGAGTTATCCTCTTTTTATAAAGTTCATAGTATCTCGGCGTGTATGGCAGCATGGTATATGGATTGAACTGCACTTGGCTTTTCGCCGCTGTGGGCCCTGGGATTGTTACATTGTTGGAAACGGAGCCGTCCCTGCAAAATGATCATCGTATGAAATTTTCCATTCTACATACGTATGCAACAAGCAGTACGCAAACTAGTGTCGTACACACTGAATTGAAAGCAAGTATCTCTATGCAGAACAGAGGGGCCTCGAGATATTAACACACGCATCGGCACACGTGCGAGATTAATAAAATCACGGCGATGCGTGCGAACAAGCATGTATAATAGTGCTTGCTAGAGAAAGAGCGATTATTAAAAACATAATTTTATTTTATTGCAAATGCGAAACACAGGTCAGACCCGAAGAACCGTTACGAAGCGCAGCAACGAGAGTTTTCCTCGTTGCCGGAAGTGAGGGGCTGTCGAAGTGACGAGCCCGAGACATGTCCGAGACTCGTCGTCTCCGTGGACACGACGTCGGAAAATCAGCGCGCACGTGCCAGGACGCGGAACGTCAGGACGCGCGTGATAAGCGCTGGCACTGGCACGAGGTGCTGATACCGATGCCCGCGATATTGCACATGGCAAAGGGGAACGGCTGACCGCCGCCGAGTACCCGTCGTCGCGCGTCGTCCGCGCGAACGCGGGGAACACGTATGTGCACTCACGTGGCTTTCCGTTTGACATAGGGATCCATGACCTCGATCCTGCGCTTCGACATAGCGTCCCCGTCGCTCCAGACGCGGTCAAGCAGGAGCAAAAACTGTTTACGAAATTCCAGGCGAGGCGTCAGTCAAGATGGCAAGCAGGCGCCAGCAGCGGCTTGGAGCTTCCTGCCTTTGTGGTAGAGGCAAGGGACAGCAGATGGTGTTGACGGCGGTCGCGATGTGTGTGTGTGTGTGTGTGTGTGAGAGAGAGAAAGAGAGAGAGCGAGAGAGAGAAAAAAAGGAAAAGAAGATAAAAACCCTGATAGAAATATTTTACTGAAAATATAATGAAATTTTACTGAAATTCTCTCTCAGTTTCATTATTTCATTACTTCATCAATATCTCAGTAAAATTTCAGTTTTTAGTTAGATTCAGTAAATTTTATCATACCTGGTATCATAAAAAGAATTTTTGTTATTACTTTTTAATAGTATAATTTAACTTTCCTTATATTTCACAGTATTACATTACATTTCATAAAGAAAATTATTTATTTTTAATGTATTTTAAATATATTCGAATTCAATAATTTTTCCGTAACTTTTATTTTACTTTTCATCCAGTACAGATTTCATACAGTATTTTCAGCAAGACATTTCCATCGGGGAAGAAGGATTCAAGAGGAGAAAGAAGAGAGAACAGAATGTCTTTTATAATAAAAGAATAAAAGAGAAATTAAAAATATTGGAAAATAGAATTTTCTATAAAAAATGGGCAGTCTATTGCAAATTATAATGCAAGTAGACAATTGCTTAATTAATCAAGTAGACTTTTAGTAAAGTAGTTGTTGATATAATTTCGATATAATGCTTGATAACTGAAGTAATTAGTATTAAATATTAGTGGCGTATCACCACTTTTTTTACTGAGAAAAAGTTAATTTCGCATATGCAGTACAGATGGACGACATACATTGTCGGAAAAATAATAAATGCCAATGAGTACAGAAAAGATGGCGATTTCAAGTTTATTTTAAATGTAATAAAGATATAAAAAATAAAATATATACACACTGTTAAATAAGTACATTTTTTACAATATACATAGCTTCATTGTCACATCCAAACAGCAGCGTCGATCTGTTAATGTCGATACTGTTTATCGGTTTGTGCATAGCGGCGCACAATGAAGTCACGTTAACTTTTCCATTTGTACTAATTGTATTCAACCAATGCATGTCCGTAGAATCTAATATCACAAAAAACAGAATGTTAGAATCAATCTTTAAGACGCAATTGCATCGTGTGTAGTTGAGCTCCTTATTAATTGCTTTCAAGTCACTTACCGAGTTTCAGTTTTGAACTCTGTGCATTGTTCCAATGCCACAATTCTCCGTTGACGGAACAAGTGAAAAGATTGTCGGGTCTGTCCTGATGGAATAGTATCTCGCTGACAGCTTTGGTGTGTGCATTAAGTTGAGACATTGGATAAGTATTCTGCCTTAAATCCCACACGGTTAAACTGCCGTCGTCTCCGCCGGCGATCACGATATGTCTTTGCGTAGGATGGTGCGTAATACTCGTAGCTGCTGTCTGTGAAATCATTTGTCACTTGTATAAAACTGATAAGATTTTATAAGACTTAAAAAGATTAAAGGTTTATATATATTGAAATTATAATAAAAAAATAATATAAAACACTTACTTTAACTTGATCGGAAAGCATAAAAGTAGTTGCAGGCACATCGCGATCGTTTCTCAAGTCCCAAACTTTCATATGTCCTCTCGAATTTCCGGTAAGCACCTCATTGTGTTTTAAGAAATCGGCGCAATATATGGAGCAGCTATCAGCATTTTCTGAGAATAAAAGATAACATATATTTTTAAATACAATAATCAGACTGTATATTACAAACATATATTAATATACATGTTAATGCAATATTTACCGATAATCCTAACTGGTTTCTTCTCTGCAGCCGTGAGAAGATTAAGCTTTCCGTCCTCTCCCACTGAAGCTATATCTTGTTCAAAGGTGGACAACGCGGTACAAGAGGCATAATCCGTTGTTCTGTAAAAATACATTGGTAAGAATATAATAATAATACTTAATATATTTCGACTTCAAAGCTGAGCACAATCAATTTAACCAAGTTTACTCACTTAAAACTATGTATAAACTCCCATGCCATGTGCTCCTTAAATTCAGTACAGATATCCTCATCAATTTGCAGTAGTCTTATCGAGCCTAAAGACGAGGCGGCGACAAAGAAATCTTTGCTGATAAACTGAAAATTCATGTTCCATTAATTCTTAACGCGTAAGAAAAAGATTAATTTTATCAGGAAAGAATAGTATGTTTACTACCTTCAGTTCAGTTACATCACCAAGGAATGAGTACGACGACAGGACTGCAGGGTATGGTTCCTCATCGTAATTCGTTCTAAATGTCCAATATGTTATTTTATTTATCTGAGGAAGAGAAATTTGAGATCAAGATTAAGTTCCAAGACTACTTGAATTCCTCATCATTATAGATTCTTAAATTTCTATTACTGGAATATATAAATGTACAAAGTTTCAACTAATTATTATTAATTAAAAGACAAGAGTTTTATTACATATACAAAAACACTGATAAAGTATGTACAATTATCTGGAACAAATTTATAGGTTAGGTATGCCAGAAATCCTTACCGGGTTATCCCAACTGCCGGTTAAAAAATTTTTCGCTTCCGTAAAATTTCCATGCTGCCACCTTATTTTGGAAATTTTCTCGGATACAAACGTCCCTTGTACATTCTCGCCCATTTTTCGATAAAAGTCGCTGTAGATGTAGATATATAGCCAAAAAAAGTCGAATATCACAGTAGTCCAGCTGACCGCTTCTCCCGCCTACCGCGGCTACCGCTCGAATGTTAACGATGCCGCCATTGTGCACTGTGCACGTTGCACCCATTTCATACAACAATATAAAAGATCGCTTCTTTTATTTCTATCTATACTTAATAACGTTAGTCGATAATATTTAAATCATACCAACACTCCTGCTAATAGCGCGTCTTTTTAACAAAGATAAATAACCGCTAACTTAGTAAAAAAAGATACATCAATAATTAAGTGTCATTTGATATTCATCATCGCATTGATCAACCGGTTACTAATTTATAAACGTATGCTCATAAAAAAGAGCATATACATCACTTATCAGATATACCCTGGCGGAAAAAATTTCTATAAATAACTACAAAATTTAACTAGAAATAGAAATTTGTACATTTTTGTTGAAATATTTAATTTTTTGTAGAAATGGTTATTTTTTTGTAGAAATTTCTACGAAATAGTACCACAAATTACAATGTTCTCAAATCAAGAAATTATTGCAAGTAGTATTTTATGAAAAACTACAATTTATAAAAAATAGTACACAAAGATCTACAAATTTTAAAAATTTAAGAAGAAACAAAATCTTAAAAAATTAAAACATCTGCTTACTTGTAGAATACTACAAAAATTTACAAAAGTGTTCCAATTCTAGCATTTTCATGTAGGATTTTGTAGTATTTCTTAAATTCATGTAGAATTTAATAGATTCTGGCAATTATATTTTATAGTTTTTTAAATTTTGTAGAAATATTTCCGCCAGGGTAAAGAGAAACCCCCCCCCCCCTAATTCGACCTCAAGCTATCGATCAAGCCTACTTAGAACTTGATCCGTTCACTCGTTATCGAGATCTCAACATCTCGAGTACTTGCACAATTTCTTAAGAAATAAAGAAGGTGATACTTTACAATTTGAAAACAATGATGAAATTATTGAAAATAATGAAAATGGTGCAGCATTTGCGACACACATTAGGGACTCTCTTTGCAATTATTTTATGACTCCAAATGGAATGGTCAATTGGCAGCATGATTATGTAACGAGAGGACAAAATCAAGACTTTATCTACACGTAAACATTTGATCGATTGATTACACGTGTCATATTGTGAAATGTAATATGTGTCATATTGTGTATGCTAATATGTATTTATTATGTGAATATAAAATAAATAGTACAAAATTTCTTTAATATTATTATTAATATTATTATATACTAGTACACATATATTTTATTACTAAAATTAATATCGCACAATCTTAAAACATGAGTATTATATGTACCTACGAATAAATGCAAATTATTTATTTTATCACAAAAATCATCTCGCTCACAGGTTTTTTTTTCTCCACAAAATTTGCATGATTTCTTGTTTCTTGACTTGTTTTATATCATTATCCAATTGTTTTAATTCCGCCATAACCAGATTGCAAAATAAAGTGTCTGGATCATTCTGCATTTGTGCACCATCTTTTTTAGAATTCAAATGCTCTGTAACTGCTTGATTCAAATTAATAAAAGACACTTTGAACTTATCGTTTTCAGATTCTGTATTTTTTCCGTCTTTTTTAATTGATATATTAGGATTAAATTTGCCCTTCGCATATGACGGCTTTTTGAAAGTGCCGGTAGATCTTACGCTCGTTGAAGAAAGGCGTGAAAAGTTAATCGTGTCGGATGATGACCGAGTTGACAATAATTCATGTTTGAAATCATTTGTACTACTTTCTGTCGTCGAAAGAAAAGATGCGCATGACGCATCATCAAAATTACTAATAGTGGGTGATGTTTCCGGTATTGGGCATTTTTTTATTGGTGAAAATATGTTTGCATCAATTTGTTCCAAAGAAGTTCTTTCTTTTTCCAGAGTCTGTTTGCCATGCTGCACCCAATTTGAAATTTCTTTATTTAGATTCTTGTCTTTTAAACAATCAGAAATATTATACGTTTTTTGTAACTTGATGTTGGTTATCGATCTGAAACCATATTATATTTGATTAAATTTGTGGATTAATAAAAGTGTGGTAAAACATGTCAATTAGTTCTCCTTGACAAACACAGGTAATCAAGAAAAATTTGATAAATATAATAAATCTACTTCTACAAATTATGAATTCTGATCCTATCATAAATTTAAGTAAAATCTCAATTTCTTTAAAATTATAATGTTCTACTATATATACCATCTCGCTAATAAGATCATAGAATCAAATGTAAGGAATTCTTACTTTCTAGTTTTGACAAATTTGTCAATATATTTCATAGACTCAAAGTATACAAATCCTCGTCTTTTAGAGGCTCCACTTCCACATGTCGTTTCATTTTGTCTTTTTTTCTTTTCTTTAGAGAAAGATTCTCTCAGACGAGTCCACCGATTGCAGCAAACATCCGCTGAAATATATGTTAAATACAGTTACTTGTAACGTGGTTACCGTTGCCGTTACTTTTTATAATAACCATTTGGTAATAATAACGTTACAATTTTATTTTTCATAACGTTAATAGTAACGGTATAGGGAATGTCACTTTTGAAAAGTAACTCATTACCGTTGCGCGTTACTCAATGAAAAAAACTCGTTACTTTAATCGTTACGTAACGAGTAAAAATAACGTTGTTACTAATGCATTACTTTTACTCGTTACGTAACGAATAAAGTAACAAGTTACTTTTTTCATTAAGTGTAACGCGTAATGGTAATGAGTTTCAAAAGTGGCATTCCCATCCTGGTGATACCATTAGCGTTATGAAAAATTGTTACGTTAATTGTTACCAAATGGTTATCATAAAAAAGTAACGGTTACGACGTTACAAGTAAAGTGAACAACGTAAAAATAAATTTTAAAAAATAAATAATAAATAAATAAATAAACAATGAATTGAATAGCTTATTGTTAATATTGTTAAACTTTTAAAAATAAAACTTACGAGACGTGGCCAAAATTTTAGATATCTCTAACCAAGAGTTCTCTTTTTTTATCACATCGCGATAATCTTTACAACTGCTGTCATATAGGTGTGGATATTCTTTCACAATTCTTATTAACAAATCATCAAAATTTTTATCTTCGTCGTTTAGCAACGTCACTTCTTTATTTAGATTCTTGTCTTTTAAACAATCAGAAATATTATACGTTTTTTGTAACTTGATGTTGGTTATCGATCTAAAACCATATTATATTTGATTAAATTTGTGGATTAATAAAAGTGTGATAAAACATGTCAATCAGTTCTCCTTGACAAACACAGGTAATCAAAAAAAATTTGAATATAAATATAATAAATCTACTTTTACAAATTATGAATTCTGATCCTATCATAAATTTAAGTAAAATCTCAATTTCTTTAAAATTATAATGTTCTACTATATATACCATCTCGCTAATAAGATCACAGAATCAAATGTAAGGAATTCTTACTTTCTAGTTTTGACAAATTTGTCAATATATTTCATAGACTCAAAGTATACAAATCCTCGTCTTTTAGAGGCTCCACTTCCCCTTGTCGTTTCATTTTGTCTTTTTTTCTTTTCTTTAGAGAAAGATTCTCTCAGACGAGTCCAGCGATTGCAGCAAACATCCGCTGAAATATATGTTAAATACAGTTACTTGTAACGTGGTTACCGTTACCGTTACTTTTTATAATAACCATTTGGTAATAACGTTACAATTTTATTTTTCATAACGCTAATAGTAACGGTATAGGGAATGTCACTTTTGAAAAGTAACTCATTACCATTACGCGTTACTCAATGAAAAAAATAAATCGTTACTTTAATCGTTACGTAATGAGTAAAAATAACGTTGTTACTAATGCATTACTTTTACTCGTTACGTAACGAATAAAGTAACAAGTTACTAATTTTTTCATTAAGTATAACGCGTAACGGTAATGAGTTTCAAAAGTGGCATTCCCATCCTGGTGTTACCATTAGCGTTATGAAAAATTGTTACGTTAATTGTTACCAAATGGTTATTATAAAAAAGTAACGATTACGACGTTACAAGTAAAGTGAACGACGTAAAAATAAATTTTGAAAAATAAATAATAAATAAATAAATAAATAATAAATTGAGCTTATTGTTAATATTGTTAAACTTTTAAAAATAAAACTTACGAGACGTGGCCAAAATTTTAGATATCTCTAACCAAGAGTTCTCTTTTTTTATCACATCGCGATAATCTTTACAACTGCTGTCATATAGGTGTGGATATTCTTTCACAATACTTATTAACAAATCATCAAAATTTTTATCTTCGTCGTCCAGCAACGTCACTTCAGAATTCAGGTTTTTATTTTCTTCATTTTCGGACATGTTTATATTGTGACAGTAATCCGTGTGATCGTATGCCATGAAGATCGATTCTATAAATTTAAAGCATTAAACATGAAACATACCGAAAATTATGAGAAGATGCGTTTATTTTGCAATAAATTACAATTTCTGGTGATCACCTCGAACTCGACGACGTCTCGCTATCCGTCTTCGGATCTTGCGCTGATTTGGCTTTCGACGCGTCTTGATTCGATCGAGTTTGCTTGCGTCTTGTTAGTCGCGGAGCTCTGAGCCTTCACAGTAGAAAGCAATTTGGTTACTTCGGCACTGATATCAATTTTGCTCAGGTCACCTAATTTGTCCAAAATAGCGGCCGGCTGGGGTACGTTGGACACGGATGTCGCAGGCTGGAGCTCCTCCTTGATAACGAGGTTTTGCGTCTTCTCGATAAGCTCGATTTCGTCTTTCGAACTATCCACTATAGTAAGATTACCTTCCTCGTCATCATTATCATCGTCCTCGTCATCCGAATACCAATCTTCGATAATCTGATCGGTATTTTAGGTGCATCGGACTCATTGTCTATGTTTTTCAAACTGTCTTGAGCCGCGCGTTGCTGCTGCTGTTCGGCACACAAAATCAAATTAACCTCAAAACACTATGTTTACGAAACTGAGACAATTCACACTAATAATTATATACGGTCACTGTCAGTTCGTATTTTCATTACGTTGATACATAAATAATGAGAATACTTACGAGTTAATCAATATAAATCCGTTCTTTGTTCTTAATTACTTTTCTAAAAGGACCAGCTAAAATGAGAATGTATGTGCCTATGCCCGTGGCTATGCAGTAGATTGGAAATTCAGAAGCCATGGGCAGAATACAGAAACCATAGCGCATGCGCTATGATATCTGCCATTCTGCCATAGACAGATAAAGTAATATCACAGCGCATGCGCTATGGCTTGAAATGCCATGGGCGTTCTTAATCTTTAAAAGAGGATATCTTTCAACTTTATGTGTCATATTTTGAATTGTTTCTATTTTTAGCACATATTGTGTATGGATACTTAATTTTTTTAATTGACATATTAATTTTTATTAAATATTTTCGTAAACAGTGAAATTACCAGTAATAATTCGTGAAAAAACTGTTACATGATATATATATTATAGTTCTTATAAACAAATATATTAATCGTATTATTTTGCAAACATACCTTATAATTTAAACTGAAAATAATATAATCGTATATGAAATAATATAGTCATATAAGATTATATATTATCAAATCAGAATATTGCATCTCAAAGTATCCAATAGATGGCATTCGATGTGATCTGTTTCTCGTATTTAAAATTTGACAAACAGTGTTATAAGAACGGCATCAAAAAGACACGACACTGGCCTGATGAGAGTTTATATGGTCATATATAAATTCATATATAATAAGATAGCGCCTTCTTATATGAGCATATAACACACTATAAGAGATATTTTTTATAGTCCTTATATAATCTTATACATATAATCATATATGACCATATAAGATCTTATCCGGCCAAAATTCATATATAAGCATATAAGACCGCTTCTTATATGAACATATAAGACATTATAAGGGTTTTTTTTCCCGGGATATTTATTTGCAATCTTTTAAAAATATTTTTAAAAACATTTTTCTGACATGATCTGGCGTGTGTACTGGTTGTCGCAGTTCGGGTACTGGCGCAGTGTTGGATGATAACTTGGGCCCAATACTGGCAGACAGTACTGGCCCAGCCGTTGTCTACTGGTACTGCCCCAGTACAGAATTTATGATCGGCTTAGTACTGCGCCAGTATTGGTTGCCAGATTTCTGATACCGCCCTTATAGAAATTTAATACTGTAAGTGATTTTTTTGCTAGTAATTAATTACTTATTTTGAGTATTAAAATCATTAAAAACAGTACTTTTAATACTCGAAATAAGTAATTAATCACTCTCCAAATAATCACTTACAATATTAAATTTCTGTAAGGGCGGTGCACCACCTGCCCCAGTACAGGATTTATTAACGGCTTAGTACTGCGCCAGTACTGGTGCCAAATTTCTGATACTGGTGCATCACTGGTAGCACCAACGGCTTAGTACTGGTCTCAGATTTCTGATACTGGTGCATCACTGGTAGCACCAACGGCTTAGTA